AAGAGGGCCTTTCACTTTTCTAGCATCAAAAGAATTATGAAACTTAAAAAAAAAATGTGAGCATATTCCTACAATTAAATGCAATCTAAATTTAAATCTTTTCTCTGGAAGAAATGGTGAAAAGGGTGTAAAAAGGAAGCATATCTCCATTAGTCTACTTTTGGCTTAGCAAATGGTATACAAAGACATTGTATGCAATATTCAAATTTAAGCCCAATATTATACTTGACTAAGAATGACTTTTGTTACATTTTAAAGAAGTGGTCTGTTCTGTGGTAAAAAGAAAATACTAAAAAAAATTAAATCTCATACATCTCAGACATCATCCTCTGTCAAACCTCATGACCAATTTTAGTGTATTCTAAAAGCCCGTGAAAGTCCCTTTTTTTCATTACTTTAAATGTCCTTTAGAAAATAGAATAATGACAGGGCTGGCAGGTGGCATGGTAGTTAAGGTCCCTGGACTTCCACAGGCCAACCACAGTTCAAGTCCTGAGCCTAACAGCTCTCGCTCTCTCTCTCTCTCTCTCTCTGTTCCTCTCTGGTCAAATTTAAATAAATAAATAAATAAATTGATTAAATAAAATAATTCTAAAAAAAATAGGATAACAGGACTAGCAGTTAGCCTAGTGGTTAAGGTGCTATACCCTCACATATCTGATCACCGTTTGAGTCTTCTAGCCAGTAGTTCAAAAAATCACACCGGGCACATGTGTGTGTGCCCCACATCCCAAGAAGATAATAGAGGAGAAGGGATTGTAGTGTGACCATCTTCCCTGAGGGATTTTCCCTCTCTCTGTCTCTCTCTCTGGTGAGCACACATGCCTTATGGGAAAAAAATAGAATTATATTTGTGAATGATTTCATGAATAGATACAACTGTAGTGTCCTCTCTCAAACTTGGTCTTCTGAGGAAAGCATTTGCCACCTTGGTGCCTGGCACCATTGCCCACTTAACTTTGGAGTGAGACATCTGGACGCCATTTTGGCATCTCTCTCATCATTGTTTGCCAGGTTGTGTTGATTTTACCATCCAGGTGGATATCTTCAGTTCATTCTCACTACATCTCTACCACAAACACCCTGAGTCTTGTGCTACTCTTGAAGCATCCTTTGATGGCTCCTCCTGCATCTACTGCTCCACTCACTTCCAAATCTTACATTGCAGCTAGGGTAAACTTTTAAAGAAGCAAATCTAAGATGTTCTCCTTATGCTTAAAATGGTGCTCTTCATGTTTGCATGTTTTTTATAAGAGCCTATGTGATCTAGGTTTTGTATACCTCTCTAGTTTTGAAAAGAGTGGCTTTCTTAGAATTAGACCTGTTATGTAGTAGTACACCTGGAATTACAGTGGCTTTAACACAGAAATCTCTTTCCTTCATATGTATGTCAGCAATCCAAGGACTGGTGTAGCAGCTTCACAGTCCTCTGAACTGAAGCTGAGGATGGATCACAGTGTGAAGACCTGTTGGGAGTACCCTCCCTCGCCCCTCTCAATAAACTTAAAAAAAAAAATTTTTTTAAGAGAGATTTTTGCTGTAGGGTGTGTGTGCTTGCCGGAGAGAAAGAGAGAAAAAGTAAGAAATTACTCCCCCTTTAGGGAGAATGGCCACACTGCAGTCCCTTCTATTCCTGGGATTTTGAGCACTCATGCACACATGCCTGGTGTGAGTTAGAAGCCAGCGGGTCCAAGACTCAAATCATAATCTGCCATGTTGGAGTCTAGCACCTTAACCACTATGCTACCAGCTGACCTCCAAAAAGGAATTATTTTAGAGTTGCTGCCACCACATCCCATATATTTTCCAAAACTTAGTCACTCAACTGTACCAAGCTACAAAGAAGACCATTCTGGACAGCTGTGTGCCCAGCTAAACTCCAAGCATTGTTGAAGATAAAGGGATATATATTTGAGGGGCCACTTAGCAACAAATGTCATAGGAGCTAAATCCTCATTTTCCAGAGTGGAAGGTGAGTCAGAAAAGTCTGAAATAGAAAAATCAAGAGCCACCACATAAGTATTTTATTAGAAACGTGAAGGCAAATACTAGAGAACACGGTTCAAATTATCTAAAGTGGTTGCCTCAGGAAGCCAGGAATAGGGTGAGGCAGGGGATTGGTGTTTTATATGTTTTTTTTTAATTGCCAGAGGGCACATGTTCTCTCAGAGACAAAGAGGGAAAGAATAAAGCATCCCCCAGTGGAGTGTGGTCATGCAGTAATCCTTATCCATTTCCCCATCCTGTTGGGATTTGGGGAATGCACACACAAAATGTGCCGTATGTTTTTCAAGGCACTGGGGCATTTGAACCATGCTTGGCCATGTAGGATATGGCTACTTTAACCACTAGGCTACAGAGCCAACTCTGCATTTTCTTTTATTTTCTTGACCTGGACTGATTTATAATAAATATGTCTAGAAAAATTTTTCCAATTGGCTGTAGCACTCATCATTTAGTGATTTTGACAGGGAAGGTAGATATAACTGTAAATTGCAGCCTGCAGAAGATTGCTTAGTCAAAATATGCAGACATTGAGGCCCTGAAGGAGAAGGAGAGAAATGGATCCTGCTTGTTTGTCTGTTTGTTTTTGTTTTTGTTTTTTGCTATAGGGCACGTGTACTCACGAAGAGAGACAGAGGGAAAGTGAGAACTCCCCCTTCTCCCCAGAGAACTGGCCATGCCATAGTCCTTTCTCCTCCATTCCCCAGTTGGGACTTTGGGCATGCATGCATACATACACGTGCGCACGTGCGTGCGCACACACACACACGTACACACCTTGCCTCCAGCATGTTTTCCATTCAACTGGGTCCAGGGCTTGAACCACGCAGTCAACCACGTAGGACCCAGCCACCTTAACCACCACGCCACTGGCTGGCCTGAGGATTGGATCCTGAGATGGTGCAATTCCAGAAACTGGGAAGATAATGCTCTGCTTATCAATAAAAAAAGGAAGAAAAAATTCATCAGAATGAAATATCTTGAGATTTGAGAAATGAGGACCTGCTTTTTTGTGAGAGATACATCAAACCTTAACAATCACAAGCCTTAATAGCTTTTGTTTGTTTAATATTTAGGCTAAGAGGAATTGCTGATAATGAAAGACAGAGGTCTGAAGAGGAAAACAGTCGTAGGGCTTGTATTTAATCACTTTGTATTTTCTCAGATCTCGGTCATGTCATTATCTGGCTTTGGTGCTTACATAACTTAATTAGGGGAGTCAGGCAGCAGTGGGAATAGGAGGGCAAAATGAAAGGGTAACAATTTAAATGAATCGCCAGCACATGCGTGATGTGCTTAGAGATGAAGCCTATTAAGGACCTAATTCTCTAAGAAGCTCTTGACATTGATCATTTGTGAAAAAGGGAGGTGTTTTTTTTTTTTTCTTACCTACCTAACAAGGTTTTGTATACTTGTCCACAAACCTTAAGCATTGATACATTTGATCAGTTTGTGGAATTACTAATACGGAGCCACTTTGAAACAACAGACAAGGTTATTAACTTTGGCAGGAAATGAAAATTTGCCCTTAATATACATGTGAAATTGAATTGTCTGTAGCACAAAGCTTTGGAGATTACCCATGCAAAATGAGAAAACTATCTAAATTTAAAATTGTCCTCAGTACAGTGGAAAGTAATTTTGCAGACTGCATTTTTACTGCATTGAAATCCGTGAAGAGATTGGCTCTATTAATTTAGGTTTAAACAGAGGCTGTGTGTCTTCTAAAAATGGCAAATGAGATGGAAAATGTACTTTAAGGGGGAAAATGAGTTTCTGCAAATGCTGCAGGCAGGCAGGCTTCCTACTCTGCATCTTTGAGTCTGCCCTGAGACCAGCTGGCTTCAGAGGGAAGGCTCTATCTACTGTGACAGGCATTTGGAATAAGGACCTGCGGATGACGCCTCAATTACATAGAAGGCTTCGAGAGTAGGATAAGAAGCAAATTGAGTAAGACCCAAAGCAAAAGTCATTGGCAGCTTTTACATTATAGTTACCAAAGTAGCTGGGTCCTTAACAGAAGGAAAAAAATTAAGGAGGAATTCAATATTCTTTCTCAGATATCTAATAATTTCCTTATAATCCCTACCTAGAAAGGTACTGGAGTAGGGGATTTGATTACACTACCTACCTTCGCTTACACACAAATTTATCTCATATAAAGTCAAGTTGGGTTTTCATTCTCTGGCCATTGGATTTCTTTAATTCACAAGAACAAAACATTTCTTTTTCCTTATTAAAAAAAATATTCATTACATGAAAAGTTGACTATTTATTTGGAACCATAGTTAGTTTGATAACTTATCATTTAACCATCCAGAATACATGAACACAATAGCCAGAGTGCAACAGAATTAATAATAGACTGTATATTTCTTTATTGGCCAGAAACGTAGAATTTCTTTTATTTAATAGAGTTTTATAAAGATGAAACTGAAGACAAGTTCTCTGAACTGCTTACTAATAGAGCTGAACCTAGAATTTAGGTCATGTGTATGTCCAGATAATTTATGTATTGTATTTGCTACAGCTTATCAAAAACCTACACTGCCCAGTAGGTAGCACACCTGCTGTGGTTTGCATATGTTCTGTATTTAAGCTATTGTAATGAGACTAAGAGAATGAAAACTTAATCTGATTATGGTGTGGAAAGGTAAGCTCTTTGGGAAGAAATTGGTGATTGGGTGGTTAGGGTGGGGCCTCCAGGAGTGCCTTTTGGTATGTATGTAATGAGGGTAAATGGGACAGGCAGAGGCCCTGTGTATACAGACTGCACTCTGTTTTGCTTAAGACCCTGCCCTCTGCCATGCTGTAGCTTGAGCAGAAGTTGGGCCCTGGCCCTGCAAACTATGAGCTAAATAAACCTGCATTTCTTTATAAAATCAACCAGTATCAAATATCTCTGTCAGCAACACAATAATGGACTAAGGCAACACCAAACTAATAAAATCAACTGTTCTTTTCTTATCTTCACATTGTTTTCTTTTTGCTTTCAGGTATTGCAGTGCTTTACTTGCACCTCTATGAGGTGTTTGGGGACCCTGCCTACCTACAGATGGCACATGGCTATGTAAAGCAAAGTTTGAACTGTTTGACCAAGCGCTCCATCACCTTCCTGTGTGGGGATGCAGGCCCCCTGGCAGTGGCCGCTGTGATCTATCACAAGATGAACAATGAGAAACAGGCAGAAGATTGCATCACACGGTAATCTTATTTCTTTGTGAGGATTATTATCTATGAACCATTATGTATTAATTCTGCATGCATTAGCAGAAGAACATTCTAGCGAATTTATTTTTCTCTCAGCAGACAAACCTCACTACTGTCATTTGATTGATTCTTACATTATCTCTGTGCTATAGTTAAGGAACAACCACTATAATCTCTGTTTCATTGCAAGCTGTAAGACACTGTCATGGTCCAGGTCAGATATCAGTTCAGTAATATAAATAAGACCAGAAGCTTAATCACATCTGGCTAGCCCCATAGCACAGTAGTTAAGCACTGTGTAGAGGAAATTGGATCCCACATGACTGACTAGGTTTGAGTCCTGGCCCCAGTGCCTACATACTGGGCACATGTGTGTGCCTGTCCAGGATCCTGACGGGATGGAGAAGTAGAGGAAAAAGGATTGTGGCGTGACCAGGCCATGTTGCAGGTTGCTTTCTCTCTTTCCTTTACTCTGATAACATACAGCATAGGCATGTGTAAAAAGGTATTCTGAAGTTTATGTCAATTTATTTTTTTTTTTAATTTTTTATTTATTTTTTTTTTTTTTGGAGAGATTTTCACTGTAGGGCGTGTGCGCTCGCCAGACAGACAGAGAGAGACATAGAGACAGAAAGCGAGAAATCACCCCCCAGGGGGGATGGTCACGCCGCAATCCCCTCTCCTCCATTCTCCTCTCGGGATCTTGGGCATGCACGCACACGCGCCCGGCGTGAGTTTTAAGCCACCGGGTCCGGGACACGAACCGCGGTCGACTACGTGGGAGTCCAGCGACATAGTCATTACGCTAACTGCTGGTTCCCGAAGTTTATGTCAATTTAGAAATGAACTAATATAATGTTTTACCTGTGACAATAAGTAGAACTACAGATTTCTTGTCCCATCCCTACTTTTGTAATTTCCAGTGAAAAAGTTAGTTACAGTAAAAAAGTATCACTGTTTGGGAAAAACTGAAGGAGAGAGCTTGTCGATCCACACACACACACACACACACACATATACATATAAATGGGAATCTTTGAAAAATGCATAGAAAATGCATATTATTCATAGTTTTCAAAATTTGCAGTACCAAAATAAACTTGGGCTTTAATTCCATTTTTCTGTGAATTTATTGAAGAACCGTTACACATGGGAGAAACACAGCACCTCTACGGAGCAGCATTTGACTATATGTAGACAACCGTCTTCTCTCATGGCTTCTTGCAGGCCTACTCTAAGAAATACTCTTTGGGAAATGGTGCCATATGTCAACATTGGCTTATTAAAATTAAAACACTCCTAAGTGTAAAATGAGATTTCATTCTTATTTTTTTGATATCTTAATAACAAAGATGTTTTTATTATTTATAACTTTAAATTTTATGACAGTTCACATCATTATAGTCAATAGATTTGGTTTTTTTGGGAGAGATTTTTGCTGTAGGGTGCGTGCACTCACCAGACAGACAGGAGAGACAGAAAGCGAGAAGTCACCCCCCAGGGGGGATGGCCACGCCGCAATCCCTTCTCCTCCATTCTCCTCTTGGGATCTTGGGCACGCACACATGCCCGGCGTGAGTTTAAGCCACCAGGACCAGGACTAGAACCGCGGTTCACTACATGAGAGTCCAGCAACATAGCCATTACGCTAGCTGCTGGTCCCTCAATAGGTTTTTTTAAAGTTAGAAATGTAGAATGTGGGGCCAGCAGGTGACATAGTGGTTAAGCTGTTAGGCACCCATAAGACTGACTGTGGTTTGAGTCCCAGAGCTGGTGGCTTGAAAATCACACCAGGCACCTGTGCATGTGTGCCCAAAATCCTGAGAAGAGAATGGAGGAGAAGGGATTGCAGCACGGCCATCCTTCCTGAGGGGTGAAGGATGATTTCTCTCTTTCACTTTCACTGTCTCTCTCTCTCCCCTGTAAGCATACATGCCCCATGGCAAAAAACTTAAAAAAATATATTAAAATTTAGAATGTAGGTAGAAGAATATCCTGTTTCTGGCCATGACTTTGACTTTTTTCAGATTCTTGGAATCCATAGAACAGAAAGAACAAATTATTTGTAAATTATTAGCACTGGCTTCATCTATCACATCTCTCCTTTAAAGGAAGAATCTGTAAGTCTTTTCAATTATAGGAAATCCAAAACTGCTTGGTATCATCAGTTATGTAATAAACCTGTTTGTTTACTTTTTACGAAACCTTTGTTAATATCTCAGCCATTTGAAATATCATAGACCCTGAGATTCTCCATGTGGTGCCCTATGCTGACATCAGATTCCAGCTTACCTTTAGGAATCATATAATTTTAGTTTTAAAAGATTGTAAAGGTCTTTGAGATCATCAAAAGTCTAATCTTTTGGGGGATTCTTATTGTTTTTAAAATATTTTGCTATTGCAATCTGTGTGTTCTTCCAAAGTTAACTTCGGCATCAATTTTTTTTTTTACATTTTTAAAAGTTACATTTAATCACTGTACATCTTTGCAGTATACATGGTTCCCAGCATGAATACAGTGCGTATTATTCAAGTCAAAAATATTAACCTTTTACATTATTATCAGCAGATAACTTCGTTCTTGTGTCTGTTAAATGTTTTGTTTCTTTAATGGTTCTTTTTCTTTTTTAAAAAAAAAATATTTATTTAATTTTATTTATTTATTCATTTATTTTTTTAATTTGACCAGAGAGAAACAGAGAAAGAGAGGGAAAGTAAGAAAGCAAGCCACCCCGTCCAGGACTCAAATCATGGTTGGCCATGTGGGAGTGTCCAGTGCCTTAACCACCACACCACCTGCTGGCCCCTAATGCTTATTTTTTTCTAATAACTTTGTTTCTTTAGTTCTCATTGAGCATGTATGCACACACATGAGAGAGAGAGAGAGATGAGAAGCCTTCGTGAAATCTGGTCAGGTCATGATCCCCTTCCTCTAGTCCTCCAGCCCTTTGGACCTGGGGCACTCGTGCCCAGAATGTTTCAGGCTGACCTGGCCAGGGATTTGAACTGTCACCATCATATGAGATCCATCTTCTCTCAAGCAGAGCAATACAATGCACAGAGATAGCCCAGAAGTCAAATCTTTAGACAAACTGAAATTAGAAGAATTCAAATCCTATACTGTAAAGGTTCTTATTAACCGTGGACCCTCAGAATCTTAGGACTCTGGGAGTCTAGAAAACCCCCTAATTGTATTGAATGTGGAAAGGAGAGCATTTGCACTTTTTTTTTGGGGGGGGGTCTGTGACTACCCAAGGAGAGGTGTATGTGTGTGTTTTCATGTTCAAATTGTCCTAGAAATTGCTGGAAAAATGGAGGGGAGAACAACATAGTACTTGTTCTTTCTACTGCCCGAGACACATCATGTCTGTTTTTACCCTTCTGTACAGATATGGGTGTCGCAACATGAACAGAATTGCCTATTTTGAACCCAGTTAGGTGACTAAGTTGACATTAGTGCTTTCGGGTCAGTACTTAGAATGATGAGGAACTTTGGCCTCTGGTCAGAAAATGTATAACATCTGTCGTTTGTATTGTGAGGACCTCCTTTTTTTCGTTAGGACCTTTCAATAATACAAGGTAAAACTTGTCCCAGTAACACCCTGGGGGAATATTGCTAGGAGTGAAACAGAACGATTTCTATCTTTATTCTTCCATCAGTAACAATTCACTGACTTGCTTATCTCTTCCCAAGATTGGTTGCTGCTAATATCAACATAACCAAAACAAATAAATGGAGTTCTAACAATGTGCTTATGGGTTTGAGTTTCTGAAAACATATGAAATAAACATTATGCTTTATAAGTGCTATGATTACTTCATTTTATCTTGTGAATGTAGCATGTAAAAACATGCAGTTAAGGGATCCGCAGATGGTATAAGGTTACATCATCACTGGACTTCCACGTAGTCGACTGCAGTTTGAGTCCCAAACATGGTGGCTCAAACTCAAGCCGGGTGTGTGTGTGTGCATGCACAAGATCCTGAGAGGAAAATGGAGGAAAAGAGGTTGCAGTGTGGCCATCCCACTGTGTGTGGGGAGTGATTTCTTGCTGTCTGTCTCTGTCTGTCCATTGAGTACACACCCTATAGAAAAAACTTCTCCATGCAGTTAAAAGTACTAACAATAAAAAAATAAAAAGTCTTATCATTAATTTTATTAAACCCAACTGATGAATTTTAATTATTTTAATTCAGATCCAGAAAGAAATGAAGTACTTCCTTTATTACCCTAAACTATATTGTTTTAATGAGATGCTCTGAGCAATACTTTATTTTCAACTCTTTGGAAAAGTATTTGCTGCCTAGTTTGACTATCTCAAATGCAATCTGAATTCAAAGTAATCGGAATGCCAATTATATATTGCCACCTAGTGGTTGTGTAGGCCATAACATTGGCAAGTAATGGTTCAAACATTTATTGGGTTATCAAACATTTATTTTTCTATGCAAAAATATGTCATGATTTTCCAGACAACCCGGTAATTTCAGTAGTGATACCATTGAAGTTGATGCAATAATTTTTCCAAGTATGACTTTCATAGAGCAGTATTTAACGAATTCCCAGTTTCCCTTTTTGAATAGTTACTTAACTTTCCTTCACAAAAAATATAAAAAGTGCTTTTTTTATATGTAAATTCTGTATAATTTGATATGTTTATATTAAGGCTTGATGATAGATTCTTACCAGAGGTCCGAGACATCCATCCTGCTTACAGCAACAGTTAAATTCGTATCTAATAAAAAGACTTTGTTTTCTTATAGTTTTAAAATAACATTACTGAGCTACCAGTTCTGGCATGAGGGGAAAAAAATAGAATTTTTTTAAATAACAAATGTCTTTAGGAGTGTTAAAAATTGTGTGTGTTTGTGTGTGTGTGCGTGTGTGCATGTTCGTATGATATTGAAATAGAGACCAAAATGGACCATCATTCTACCATCCAGACAGCCTCTTGTTATTGAAAAAAGGTCAAACAAGGTTCTACAAGAAAATGAAAATATTCTTCTGACCACAGTGACCCCATTCCTCCTACAATGGCACTATATTTCGGTGTGTTTATTGCCTATATTAGTAAGAAAAAAAAACACATGAAGCACTATTTGCATATTTAACTAATTTGACAATTTGTTGATGTACAGTGAGACAAAATTTAACTTTTTCACTGTCAGCCACTTTCAGTCACCATCCATCTCATTCTGGTAATTAAAACCTGTCCTTTTCATTTTAAGAAATGTTAACTGTTCCCTTCCCTTTACCATAAGCTTGTGAAAGTGACTGGGAGGGAGATGGAAGAGGATGGTATTTCCTCCTTACAAGTATCTTTGGAGTTAGGACATCTTTTTGCAACCTATTGCTGTGTAGCCTGGTGGTAGCAAATACTGGGTTTTTATTTACGTCTTGTTTTTATTTTTTGTTTGTTTGTTTATTTCTTGTAAATACTGGTGGCCTCAGAGTTTAGTAATATAGTCTATATACTGCATCAGCTATACTCGTAACCCTGATTACATTCAAAGCACAAGCAGTCGCTTGATTCTGCCAAATGTATAAACATTTATTAGGAAGAAGTTTAGTCCACTGCCCTGTTCATACAACTCAAAGCCACATTATCCTCAGGACCGTCTTAGCCTTTTTATTTATTAACGGTTGAACAAAACACCTACACTGTCGCTCAAACTCATTTCTTTGTATCTTTGTCATGGGGCACCTGTACTCTCCGGAGAGCAAGGGAAAGGAGAAATTATTCCCTAGCAGCGATGGCCACACGACACTCCCTCCTCCTCCATTCTCTCAGGATTCTGGGCACATACGCACATGTGCCAGGTGTGATTTTCAGGCAGCTGGGTCGAAGACTCCTCACAGCTGGATGTGTGGGATCCAGCACCTTAACCTCCACACCACCTGCTGGCCCATCCCCAGCCCATTTTATTACACACTATACCAATGAAAAGCTGTTTTCTTACGTCTCTTACCACATTTATTTATAATTCTCTGGTGTATATTTTATAAAGTTATTGGAGATGCTGCAAACCTCTGCATGTTAATTTCTGATTAGAGTACTTAGCATATAACCAATCACCCCAGGAGTGTGATTTTTGATCACTCAGATTCTAATTAAGTATCCCTAGGGTGTGGACTAAAGTTAGATGAAATACATGCACAGGCACAGCACAGTATTTCTACTTAGCTACTTTATAAAATTTCTACACAGACAAGGGAGAGAATCTTTAAATCTGAAGGAACTGTTCATGTTATAGATGAAAAAATCTTAAGAGCAGAAATTAACTAGTACATTTAGGTCATAAGCTACCTGATGACATTTGATAGAGTTAATGTCCTCTCATACTACTTTTCTACAGAAGTTTCCAGTTTCTAATATCATTTTGTCATGTTTGATCAAAAATGAAAATGTTTTAATAACTTCAGTGGTATCACACTGAACTTATAGGTTAATTTCAGGATGATTGGGATGCATTTTCAAAATTTTGTATGCTTAAAAATATCCAAAGTAGTATCAAAAAACAAAATTACAACAGTTTAAAGAGCAAAATTGGCTTTATTTGCAATTCTAGAATTGGACAAAATATTGCTCCATAAAATAGAATAAATGTTCTCATGAGCTGAGAAGAACAGGTTAGTTTTATAAACAGAAAAAAAAAAAAAAAAAAAAAAAAGATGGAAAAGGCAACAAAAAGTAGATTCTGCCATTCCTCATTTGAAATTCTTTTCCTTATAAGGCAGGACTGGGAGAGAGAACAATAGAAAAATAATTGCATGGTTAACTGCAGGTTACTTTTTTGTGTAAGGATTAAAGTTGAGAGAACTTCATTATCATGCGGATTGAAACTGGCCTGCTTGGGAAATGTATTCTTTCTCATTCTCCTGATTTTTTGAAAGGTCAGATAAATGGCTTCGTTTTGGCTTGATAAGCATAGAACTTTAAAAGAGTGATTTCATTTTTTTTAGTCTGATCTTGCAGGGCCTACATAGTATAAGAATTTAGAGCAAAACAATGATCTCTTACACATTTTTATTTAATAGCAAAGGCATTTTTTCTCCTTGTATTTTCTGCCAGACCAAAAAGAGTCATTCTCAGATTTCAACCTACCAAATGTGATCGTTCTCAGCTTCATTCCCTCGTCTGGTTTCCTGTGTCTCCCTTTTGGTTCTCTGACAGGAAAGCCATGGCTTTGAGGAATGCTCTGCCATGTGTTTCCCAATGCTGGGCCCGTGTCTGAGGCCAGGTGATGCAGAGGAGAGAGACGTGAAGCAGTGGGGGTTCACTCCGCCCTCCTGGGACCATAGTTTCCCTGAACTGTGAAAAAGGTTCCCTCACTCAGTGTTCTGGCTCCTGTGGGCTCACCTGGCCTTTGCTTCCTCTGCCAGCATGAGATCCTTTGTGGCCAGGGATTTAAGAGAACAGAGAAAGAATGGAAGGGAAGGGAAGGGAGGAAGGAAAGGAAAAATGAGGGAGTACCCATTTTTTCTGAAATCAGGAATGCTGTTCTTCCTTGAAACAGAGCAAAAGCACTCTCTCTGGGGCTCTCACTGTCAGCCCTGATAGCCACTTCTCTGTCCTAAGCTAGACGGAATTCAGGCCCTAGCAATACACAAGGGGAAAGTACAGTAAACTCACCACTGGTTTGCTGGTACTTGAAATTCTGGGTTTTTTTCCCTGTTCTGCCTGCCACAGTTTATGTTTAAGAGCCCTCAAATAGCTGCTCTTGTGGATTCTGTCCAGGCCTTGGATCTGCGTTTAGTGGAAAAGCAAGGATGGAGTATGCTTACTCCATCTTACCTTGAATTGGAACTACAAGTAACTTTCTGAGAAGCTAAACTGCACCTTATCATTAGGGGTCTGGTGGAGTATGATGCATCTATGTAATGGAATACTATAAACCTGCTATAAATAATGAGACTACCCTATATGTGTTGATATGGAATGGTTGTCAAAATACATTGTTAAAATCCAGCAGGTAACAAGGTGGTTAAGGTGCTGGGTCCCACATGACTGATTCCGTGGTTTGCATCCCAGATCCAGCTTCTTGAAAAACATTGGGCATGTGTGTGTACACATGCGCATTCATGTCCAGCTGCCCAAAATCCCGAGAGGAGAATAGAGGACAAGGGATTATGGCAAGGCCATTCCCTTAAAGGATAATTTCTCACTTTCCCTCTCTCTCTCTCTGTCCAGCGAGTACAGTTTCCTGTATATATATATATACACACACACATATTTATATTTTAAATAGTAAGCTGCAGAACATTTGGGAGGATATATACATTTATGCTTATACTTGTGTCTGTTTATAAAGTGATTCTAGGAATATACAGAAAATTGGTTGCCTCTCAAAATAAGAAGTAAAAGGCTGAGAAAGGGAGACAAGGAGACCAACTGATGGATGCTGTTTGCATGTATTTTTTTTAATTTATTGTTGTTGTTTTTTTAAAGAACCATTTAACTTTATTATTTATTTATCTTAATTTGACTAGAGAGGGACAGAGTGAGAAAGAGAGAAGGAAAGAAAGAAAGCAAGCCACCAGGTCTGGGACTCAAACCACAGTCGGTCATGTGAAAGTACAACGCCCCCAACCACCATGCCACCAGCCAACCCTTGCGTGTATTTATAATTGTGGCCCATCAGGCTGCCATGGACATACTTCAAATAGGCTTTGTGATACCTATGGAACCAAGGAAGCAGGAAATTAGGGTACAACAGATATTTCATTTTATGTAAATAGATGCCCCTCTGAGTGTTGACTTAGTCCTTTCTCTGGGCCAAATGCTGTGAATAGCCAGCCTCTCTTGGCTTCTCTGCCCCCTTCTCTGCTAAAGTACTAGTCTTAGGGAAAGTGTCCATGGCGAACTAGGGAGGTTTCAGGTAGCCTCAGCCGTGCCCTTGCGATCTTTTATTGTTTGAATTTTTGTCGGCTTCATTGTGAACTGAATAAATCTAATTGAGGTCTCTTCTTTGAACCCAAGTAAATACATATCGTTTTTCCTCTGTGTGTGTATGTGTATTTTAAATGTGCTATTTTTAAACATATGTAGTACCTAATCCCTTTCAAATTATCTTAGTCATGTATTTTTATTCTTAGGCTAATTCACCTAAATAAGATCGATCCCCGTGCTCCAAATGAACTACTCTATGGAAGAATTGGCTACATCTTTGCTCTTCTTTTTGTCAATAAGAACTTCGGGGTGGAAAAGATTCCTCAAAGCCATATTCAGCAGGTATCATATTTTTTGCTTTTAAGAAGTCTTTTTATGATCTTACTATCTATCTAAACTATTGTTTCTATCTCCATATCCCAAGTAGAAGGAGGGAGTATCCTGACCTCTGAAGGTCAGGAACAAAGCAGAGAGCCAGCATTTTCACACTGTATACTGTTGGAAACACTACACGGAGAGATTGAGGCAGAGGGCCCACCTGCTCCATTTGAGAGGTCAGAGGCATTTCCAGAAGAAGATTGGGGCTATATTTTACTTCCCAGATGCAGAGATCTCCTTGTACCTGGAGTAGTTTATGCTTCCCTTTGGCAGGTGATTCTCATAAGTTCTAACGAAAAGGGTTGAAAGTTCTCCATGCCCTCCTTCTTTTAGGCAGAATACAGTCCCACCTACTTCTCTGACACAGAATTAAACCATGTCCTCTCTTGTCAGAGATAGTGTCTAATGGACCAGCAGATGGCAAGCATAATGGTTACATCATTGAACTCCCATGTAGTTGACCATGATTTGAGTTCCGGACCCCATGGCTTAAAACTCACACCAGATGCATGTTCATGCATGCTCAAAATCTCAAGAGGAAAACAGAGGAGAAGGGATTACACTGACCATCCCCCCTGGGGGAGTTGTTTCTCACTTTCTGTCACTCTCTGTCTCTCTAGCAAACACACATGCTCTATAGCAAAAAACCTCTCTTAAAAAAGAAGATAATGTAGTCTCCATGTTTTCTGTGTTTTAGCAAAAAGTTCCTTATCTCCACCAGGAAGGTTTTCCATCTACTTATTTTGTTATTTTTTATTGGTTTTCTTTCTGTAGATTTGTGAAACAGTTTTAACCTCCGGAGAAAACCTAGCTAGAAAGAGAAACTTCACAGCAAAGTCTCCATTGATGTATGAGTGGTACCAGGAATATTATGTGGGGGCTGCTCATGGCCTGGCTGGAATTTATTACTTCCTGATGCAGGTAAGGAGTGAATATGATGAGGCTTTCAAATGTGCTTCCTCACACATGAACTGTCTTGGGTGAGAAGACTTGTGCCCATTATTTTATCATTCTGTTAATCACTGTATCACTCCCCTTGTACTTTCTTGGCCTAACCTGACAAAGATAATGCTTATCAAGGTGCATTCTAAAGTGTGTCAACAGAAAGGGGACTGTGCTTTTTGATGATGTCCAGTCTGTAGGTGGCCATACTTGCCTACTAGTGCAGCTTGTGCTGACTAAAGTATTTTGACCTATTTGAAGTATCTTTTTCAGCAAATGCCTCGAATTAAGAATATTACTTCACATTATAGAACATAGCCCATTGAAATGAATTTCAGTCATAAGAACAAAATCAATAGAAAACAAATAAGCACATGTTGCCTGAAGCTCACTTAAAGAACAAACCTGAGTAGAGTATTTAATGGATTTTGTGCAACTTACCTGAAAAATAGCTGAATATGCTATACCCAGTAGTTCTTAGGTTCTCATATTATTGGGGGGAATATCAACCAAAGTTGAGAAAACTAGGGGCAAATAGAATGTACTGCAATAAACAAGAGTTTGGGAACAGTCATGAGGATTTCTCAGGAGAGCATCATTTTAGGGCACTAAATAAGCTCTCCTTAAGGATAAAATGGCACTTAAGAAGAATAATTTATGACTGGATTGGCCAGTGGCATGGCGGTTAAGGTGGCAGGATCCCACATGGCCGACTAAGTAGTTTGAGTCCTTGACCCAGTGACTTAAAAAAATACGTGGGGCAGTGTGCATACATAGCCATCCTACCTGGTGATTTCTCTTTCTCTCTGTCTCTCTCTCGCAAGTACAGATGTCCTGTAGCAAAAAAGTAAAGAATTCATAGCAGAAGGAAATTGATCTTTAATTGCCACAGAGGAACCTACCTTGCTTTCCCAAGGCACAATATGGCATAAAGTGTTTCAATAATATGTCCAACATGTGTGCTTCGCTGTGCATATGGTCAGCTGGTTGAGTAGGGGCTATAATAATACAGAATCAAAGTCAGGGCCAGCTATGGCAGTGCAGTGATAAGGCACCACTCCGGGATGCTGAAAGTCACATGGGAAGGTCGCAGGTTTATATATCAAAGTCTGCCTGTATGCACAAGGCTGGCTGGAGCTGACAGTGGATCACAACATGATCTTATTGGGCATGACTCTCTTGCTCTCTTTCTGAAGAAATAAATAAATGAACTTTAGATCATGTGGTTAATATGAATTAAGCTATATTTTAAGAATCACTTTGGGGGACTGGCAGGTGGCGTGGTGGTTAAGGCACTGCACTCCCACATGGCTGACTATGGTTCGAGGCCCGGACCTGGCAGCTTACTTTCTCGCTCTTTCTCTCTCTCTCTTACCCTGTCCCTCTTTGGTCAAATTTAAATAAAATAACTCTAAAAAAAAAAATCAATGTTTACTTGTTCTCTACCTATAACTAAACAATGACAACAAAGCTGAAAGTTTCAAGATTACTACTGCTTTTGAATGGAAAGTCACACTTTGAGTTGACTGGCAATCAAAGACGGACTGTTGTATTTATTTTGTACTTCTCAGAAGTCTTATAACTATAGTTTTTACAATGTATTTATTTTTTTAAAGAATCATTTTATTTAACTTTCTTTGTTGTTACTATTAGTTTCATTTGACCAGAGACAAAGAGATAAAATGAGAAAGTAAGCCACCTAGTCTGGAACTCCTACCAGGGTCAGCTATGTGGGAGTTCAGTGCCCTCAACCACCATGCTACCTGCCAGCCCGAGCAATGTATTTATTTTTAATTTTCTTACTTATATTTAATCACTGTACATCTTGACAGCATACAATATAAATGTTCCCACTATGAATATATTACACATTGGTCCAGTCAAAGATATTACTAAGCATATATCATCAGCAAGTAGTTTTCCATTTTTGTCTGTTAAAAGTTTTGCTTTTTTCTCCCCAATTTTCTCCCTCCCACTCCCATTTTATGCAATTTAGACTTAATTTCCTTTATTTTCCTGATACAGTTCTTCAAGTCTTAAAAATGTTCAGGAAGAGGGAGTGCATGTCTTTGAAAATGTCAGGGCAAATTAGAATCAGACATCAGTTATTGAACAGCCTTATTGGCCTTCATTGAAAGGATAATCAGGAGGCATCTCATCTTTCCCCTCCTTTTGTTAGCTGCAGTAAGAATCTGCAAACCTAAGTATTGATTTTTCCATTTCCAGGTTATGTCTGTTTGAAGCAATTTAATTTTTAATCTTGAAAGTCTGTCCTTGCAGATGCCGATATAGCACTATAAAATTAAAAAGTATTATTTTAGGCCATGTTGGATAATTTCTACAAGTCTGAGGAGAGTCCACTCATTCTGCTTTAACACTTCAAGCCGAACTTGAACACCGTTCCTTCTGTGAAGTGGAATCTGTGTGCCCCTAGTGCACTTTGAGGCCCTCGTGAAAGTCTTATCACTTTGTTCCCACCACCACTGCCTCCTGCTGTGTGTCATGCCAGTGCCCACCCTTCACCCACATGCCTTGCCTTTATCTTGCAAAATGACACTTTGAATGTGTTGTTTAAAGAGTGAGCATTGCACTAAATTAAGAACAGGACCACATGGACCAGCAGGTAGCATAGTGATTAAGGCGCTGGACTCCCACATGGCTAACTATGGTTCGAGTCCCAGACCCAGTGGCATAACTTAGACCAGACGTGTGTGCGTGCATGCCCAAAGTCCCTAGAGGAGAATGGAGGAGGGATTGTGGCATTGCCATCTCCCCAGGGGGTGATTTCTCACCTTCTGTCTCTCTCTTTCTCTCTGGCAAGAGCACATGCCCTACAGCAAAAGACTCTCAAAGAAAAAAGAACAGGACCATAAAGAGAAACTAAAAACTTGTATAAAAAAATGACAGCTCATACGTCCTATGTTAACATGTTTCATAAATCTCTACATTGTTGTGACAGAATAATTCTGCATACAGATTAATTCCAAATCCTCTGCAGAAAGACTTTATTCTAGAGTCATGTTGTAGTTTGATATATACTCCTAGCCTAACTTGTTAGTGTCCTCTTCTGTAGGAGACATCACCTACCACTTCTGTCGATGTAATAATGTTATCTGCTCCATTTCTTTAATGCATTTCTTTGTGGCCTTGAAAGCATGCTTTGGGTATTGAAACCTTAGAAGACTTCTCTTACACTCATATCCTCAAGCATTAACTTAGGAAAATAACTTATATGCATGTACATAACAACAAATACTGAAACGTAACCATATACAAAGATCTAAAAAATCTAATAGCTCAGTTTCAGTTTGTTACATTATTTAAGAACATAAAATAAAATAACAGAAGATTAAAATAAAACATTGAGAAAAACATTGGATAAATTCAAAACTTCTTAGTGCCCTTCCAGTTCCTTTTGTCATACCTTTTTCTGAGTTAAAATGCATGCTAAGGCCCAGGACGGTCTGTTTGCTTCAGCAGAACTAATCATCCCCTTCCTTATTTTCAGCCTAGTCTTCAAGTGAACCAAGCAAAGTTACATAGTTTGGTGAAGCCCAGCGTAGACTATGTCTGCCAGCTGAAATTCCCTTCTGGCAATTACCCTCCGTGTGTGGACGATAATCGAGATCTACTCATCCATTGGTGCCACGGTGCCCCTGGGGTAATCTACATGCTCATCCAGGCCTATAAGGTACTGTGCATTTTCTCATTTTAGGAATAAATTAGAAAATATTACAAAAACTGTTGTAATTTAAAATTAGTCTTCACCATTCTTAAAGAAGCAATACAGAAATTACTTCTTGGACCTAAGATCATTTTGCTAATAGATTATAAACGGCTCATGGGACTAACCAGCAGGTGGCATAATGGTTACGTGACTAGACTCCCATGTAGTCAACCATGATTTCAGTCCCGGTTCCACCAACTTAAAACTCACACCAGGCACGTGTACATGCATGCTCAAGGTCCTGAGAGGAGAATGAAAGAGCATGGCCATCTCCCCCGGGGGTGATTTATTGCTTTCTATGTCTGTTTCTCCAGTGAGCACATAAACCCTATAGCAAAATATCTCTCAAAAAAAAAAAAGTTTATAAATCAGTCTCACAATATCCATTTATACCATAGCAGGCATTTATCTCATAGCCTGGGAGACTACTTCACTGACAGGTTAGAATAGCCAAATTTTAAAAATAGCAACAGAGTCAACATAAGTATCTGAGATCAGCTGAAAGTAGAACCCTCAAGCATTGCTGGTGGAAGTATAAAATTGTACAGTTAGCATGGGAAACAGTTTGGTATTTCCTCAATAGATTGAATGTGTGATTTTTTTTTTTTTGAGGAGTTTTTACTATAGGGCATGTGCACTCGCCAGACAGACAGAGAGAGACAGAGAGACAGAAAGCGAGAAATCACCCCCCAGGGGGGATGGCCACGCCACAGTCCTATCTCCTCCATTCTCCTATTCGGATCTCGGGCACGCACGCACATGCACCCGGTGTGAGTTTAAGCCACCAGGTCCGGGACTCGAACCGCGGTTGACTACGTGGGAGTCCAGCAACATAGCCATTACGATAACTGCTGGTCCCAATGTGTGATTTACATATGATCCAATATATACATAGACATTCCTAGGTATATGCCCATAAGAACTAATATCCAGTATTTAGACATATTTGTACACCAGTGTCCATAGCAGCATTATTTGCAATAGCCAAAAGGTAGAAATAATCCAGGTATCTATCAACAGATGAATTTTTTAAATGTGATATATACATATAATCAAATTTTAGTAAGCCAACATAAAAAAAATGAATGCGATTTGGATTCAGAGTGGCTGAACCTTGAAAACATACTAAGTGAAGTAAGCCAAACAGAAACTTTTATGATGTGATAGTTAATATGAGGTATCTAAATCAAGCAAATTCGCAGAGACAGAGTAGAGTACAGGTTACCAGGTCCTGAGCGGGGAGCAGAGGAAATGGGGATTTATTGCTTAACTGGTACAAAATTTCTTTTGGGAATGATGAAAAAGCTTTACAGTAAGATAGTGAAGATGATTATGTGACATCATGCATGTAATTAATGTTACTGAATTGTATGATTAAAAGTGGTTGACACATTAACCTTTGTATTGAATATATTTTACCACAATTTAAAAAAATGCCAAGTGTCATTCCTAAAAGCATGCTTTAGAAGAGTTGTAGTCAATGAAGAGAAAAGTTCTTGTTTTTGTTTTTGTTTTGACATAGAGTACATGTGCTCACCGGAGAGAGACGGAGAGACGTAAAGTAAGAAAGTTCCCCCCAGGGAGGATAGAAAGTGAGAAATCACCCTCAGGAAGCATGACATACCACAATTCCTTCTCCATTCTCCTCCTTGGATTTTGGGTGCATGCATGCATGCACACACATGCACAAAAACACACACATATGCGCTCGCGTGCACACACACATACACACAAACACACATGCACACACACACGGCAAGTATGATTTTCAAGCCACCAGGTGTGGGACTCTAACCACGGTTCACCATTAGAGTCCAGTGCCTCAACCACTATATCACATACTGGCCCCAAGAAGAAAATATTTTTAATAGAGAAAAAAGCAATAGAAGTAAACCAGCATGTCTATGACCATTGGTACCAAGTCATCAAGTTAGAAATCTCGACAACGTAAGTAGGCGCTGGCATTTTATAACTAAACGAGATTTAGTATATCACATTCTACCTTTCAGAAGGTTTGGTATAATGAAATAAACTTAAAAATGCATGTTTCTATGTTTACAAACAGTTGCAATGAGATATTAAAAATACCTGCTCAGTATTTCTCAAATCTTTGATCAAGATGTTAGAGGCAGCAAAAGATTATAAAGGTCAATCTTTTTTTCTGCTATAGTGTTTCAATTTGTAGTATAATCAATTATTATATTTATAAATAACAGTTTCTTCTCTATTATGTAAAGAAATTTTCTAACAGTTGGGACCAGCAGTTAGCATAATGGCTATGTCGCTGGACTCCCACGTAGTCGACCATGGTTTGAGTTCCGGACCTGGTGGCTTAAACTCACGCCGGGTGCGTGTGCGTGTGTGCCCAAGATCCCAAGAAGAGAATGGAGGAGAAGGGATTGCAGCGTGGCCATCCCCCCTGGGGGGTGATTTTTCGCTTTCTGTTTCTCTGTCTCTCTCTGGTGAGCATACGCGCCCTATAGCAAAAAAAAAAAAAAAAAAAAAAACTCTCCTAAAAAAAAAAAAAGAAACTTTCTAACAGTGAAGGGCATTCTGGTTACCAAAGAAGAGAACATATTTTCTTTGGAAAGGATCTAGTGATAGCAGCAAGTTACAAATTAAATAGCTCTGACTTATCGATAATACCCATCAATAACACACATACACATAAAACTTAGATTGCACAGATAAGGTCATGCCCAGTTATTAAAAACAGATCTAGTCAATCTTAGCTAGTTGTTACTACCAGTATAACACATCTTTAGATCTCTTATCTTTTCTTGCAGAACACCTGCCTCTCTTCCCTTCCCCTGGCATTCCTCCTTACCTTTTAGAAAGGAATGTTGGTAGAATATTTTTTTATGGCCCATGTACTGAGACACCGGTCCTTTCACTCTGCAGCTCTTACGGAAGGTGCAGCTCTGCCGAGAGGAACGGTATCTCTATGATGCCTATCAGTGTGCTGATGTGATCTGGCAGTACGGGTTGCTGAAGAAGGGATATGGGCTGTGCCACGGCGCTGCAGGAAATGCCTATGCCTTCCTGACGCTCTACAACCTCACGCAGGATGTCAAGTACCTGTATAGGGCCTGCAAGGTAGGAATCAGAACTGTTCAAAAGAAAGCTACTCTTCGAGAAGGTAGTAGAAAAAGCTATAATTCATCTGCTTTAATTAATTTATTTTTTAAACCATAAGTCATAAATAACAAACACAGTGCTTAAAAACAACTTCCACAAGTCTTTCAGTTAAGTTTGCATTATTTTAAAAGGACATAATTCTACCCAACAGTATGTATGGGAGGAAAAGAGATGAAAGGTGATTTCGTCCCTTTCTTTGATGACTTGGGAGATTCAACACTCAGACAGCTCATTAGTTCTTCTCATGCTGTGTATTCTCTTTTAGACCATCATTTCTCTGCATTAATTCCTTTCTCTAACTTAGAGACAGTTTTTGACCTTTCAGAGTAACTTTTAAGACAGTCTCTACCAACTTTTGGGAGATCTTTGAAAGAAATTACTACAGTAATTTAATTTGTTCTCTCATTTGCAGTTTGCTGAATGGTGCTTAGATTATGGAGAACATGGATGTAGAACACCAGACACTCCATTCTCCCTCTTTGAAGGTAATTTTCACACATTACTGCTTGCCCTGTAACATGAGCATCTACATCTGTACTTGGTAGTTAATATATTTTAGTTTGAGTTTTACCAACAAAATAATTTTTTATTATTTATTTAATTTTATTTATTTGTTATTATTACTCATTTTGACTAGAGAGAGACAGAAAGGCAGAATGAGAAAGCCAGCCTCCAGGTCGGTCTGCGACCTGAACCACAGTTGACCATGTGGAATCTGGCACCTTAACCACCACACCACCTGCCGGCCCCTCAACAAAATAATTCTATAGTCATTTCTTAAACTACCTGTTCCTTTCATAATGTGGCAGATCAATATTAAAAATCAATTAGCATATGGTCTGCCACATACTAGTGGTCATAATGGTGGCTACCATTTATGGAGCCAGGAATGTGCTGGGCATTTGCAAATACTATCACAAATTGTTTCAACCAGAACACACTGAATTGCTATCTTCATGGCACAAATGAGAAGACTGAGGCCTAGGCACGTAGCAGGTCTGTAGTGACTTGAAGGAGCTCACATTTGTGAAATGGTAGGTCTGTGGCTTAAACTTTTCTAGCTCCATTCTTCTGTCTTCCATCTGGATAACAAGGCTGAGCCCCGCACTGGTGATCTCTTTTCATGTGGCACTGATTGTATATACATAAATGCAGACAGAGTCTCACCTCATTCAAATCATTGCCTTTAGTATTGTAATGCCATTGATGCTAAGAAATGGAGCCACCCTGTAAAAAGAGTCACTTGATATATAACTTCTGCATTTTTTTCTCTTCCTTCAGGAATGGCTGGAACAATATACTTCCTAGCTGACCTGCTAGTCCCCACAAAAGCCAGATTCCCTGCATTTGAACTATAAAAGGAAAGCATGCCCCCTGCAACTCACTGCATGATCCCTTCTGTATATTCAAACCTGGGCTAAGTGCTTTTGTGGCTTTTCAAGGAAATCAAACTGTGTACTTGATTTAGTTGTTTTTTCTTTTTTTCACAATATGTGTTTAGTTCGTCTTATTTTATCGTTTTCTTTTATTAAAACATTCAAGGAAGACTTTTAACTTTAAATTCTTCCTAAAGAGAGACTGGATGATACGTATAGTATTTTGAAGTCATATACATTATTTTAGAACTTGGAGGAAATGTTATTCCTATTTAAGTTCATGAATATAGCCATCTGTTACTCTTTTTTAAATATTTAAAAAGAAATAGACAAAGATAAATATATGACCATTGTTGGGTTTTGCCCTCCACCTCTTCTCTTGAATATTTTTCCTCCAATAGGAGACAGACTGTATTATGACTCGCTTTTTTTTTCTAGATGGTTGATTATAAAAGGGGACAAAAAAATATAGTAATTTTTCTGAAAGGAAAATTGAATTGCCAAAGTAGCAATCTGGACCTGGGACTAAATACCATTTTTCACGTTCGTAGTGCCTATTTGGATCAGAGGTAATCATACTCTCAAATTTGCCTCTTCTTTTGTCACTAAGTCATCCAGTCTCCATAAGCCAACATTTTAATCAAAAACTTCTAAAACATAATGGTCATTGTGAAAATTTTTATGTGAATGTTAGTTCAAAATAAGCTAAAAATAAGTTTATTGTTTTCTCTAAAATAGTATGATGTTTGGGAACTATATATTTAAATGATTTATTACTTATTTGGAACTCTATTTATTCTTTGGTTTTTATATAATGTCAGGAACCTTTGTGTGTGTGAATGTTCTATGATCAGGATTCCAGTGCACCCCGTTTAACTGACCTTCTAAACTTTGACTTGCGGTTTCATTTACTTGGTGATAACCATGCTTAAGTGCCGGCTGTTTGGAATAAGCCATAAGATGTTTTCCTTCCTATCAATTTATCTGAACGTTTGTCTTTTCACTAGATAGTACAGCATTCCATTTCTGTTTAGGAAAACAGGTGGCAAGAGGGATGCTATATCATCAATGACTTGAACAAGAACACTAAGCTTTTGATCGAAAGGCTGTTTAGTTAGGGGATAATATCCAGAGTTTATGCTTAAAACAAGTAGGTCTATGCATATCCTAAGGTGAACAGTTGACCAGTTTCTGAGACCCCAGATTTGGGTTTTACTTGGTAGGTGAGACTCCCTGGTGCTTCAAATTCTATACAAATGTTTTGACTCATCAGCTCCTCCTCCTCTTATTGCTGACTTTCCCGGGTCTATTTTGCTTCTTTTTACCTGATTTTGGAACATTTTCTAGCTTTAAAAAAAGAAAACAGGGTCTTATCATTGTAAATGTGCCTATTTGACAGCTTTCTTGGTCAGAAAAACATAGTATTTTTATTGGAACTTTGAACCAAATCCCCACCTATTGTATGCTGGTTCTGGCAGGTAGAAATCCCCTATTATTTCTATTTAGCACTAAAATAGCTAATATTATTAGAAATTGTCTAAGTCTTTAAAGGCTACTGACAATAGAATCTAAAAAACAGCCACTGCTCCACTCCAAGGATTAGCTTATTCTTTCTGTGGTTTGTGTAAATTAAGGACTACTTTGTGCCTCTTGGATTTCTGTAGTGCTTCTGGTAAGCCTGGTGCAAGCTGTGCCTTTCTTGTGGCAATTTCAGATCCATGGCATTGGCATTTATAGTAATAGGTACAAAGCTGATTTGCCTTTGGCTGGGTGTCCAACTTGAAAGAATGGAGCACATTTGGTTTAGCCGACTGTCTTACTACACTGTGCCTGCAGTTCAAGCCACTGTCGTTACTAACCAAGGGGAAAAGAACAAAACACATTTTCTCTGAGACGGAGGAGAATTGATCATAGAGCTTCTCCAAGAATCTTGATTAATTTACCCTAAAAAGACTTCAAGGCAGAGGAGAACATTTTGAATAAGATACTCATTAATATTTGGGTTATATTTTAGCTTCTATCATCCATTAAATTCATCAGTTCTAGTTTCCTTTTTTAAAAAAAAATTTAAGGCTGTTAATAAACTGGCAGAAATTTATGTTTTTGCTATCATTTAAGCTTAAGAGCTAAGAAAGTTTCAGTAGGATTTTAAATTCAGGTAAAGGCTACAGAGCAAAATCCAAATACTCCAAGACCATGGTAGTGACTGAAAGAAACCTTTACACTAGCTTTCTTGGTTTTGAAAGGAAGTACGTGAACCGCAGTCGACTACGTGGGAGTCCAGCGACATAGCCATTGCGCTAACTGCTGGTTCCCTAGTTTCCTTTTTAAAAAAAAAAATTTAAGGCTGTTAATAAACTGGCAGAAATTTATGTTTTTGCTATCATTTAAGCTTAAGAGCTAAGAAAGTTTCAGTAGGATTTTAAATTCAGGTAAAGGCTACAGAGCAAAATCCAAATACTCCAAGACCATGGTAGTGACTGAAAGAAACCTTTACACTAGCTTTCTTGGTTTTGAAAGGAAGTGACACTATTGTTTCAGTTCTATTTCCGTTCATTTTTCCCTCAGTTATTTTTCTTTTTGTTAAAAAAAAAAAAAAACCTTAAAAATTGCTTCCCCAGAAACTCAATAACACCTCTTATCTCCATGTAAAGACTAGACAGTAAAACCTTCAAAATGTTTTTGCTATCATTTAAGCTTAAGAGCTAAGAAAGTTTCAGTAGGATTTTAAATTCAGGTAAAGGCTACAGAGCAAAATCCAAATACTCCAAGACCATGGTAGTGACTGAAAGAAACCTTTACACTAGCTTTCTTGGTTTTGAAAGGAAGTGACACTATTGTTTCAGTTCTATTTCCGTTCATTTTTCCCTCAGTTATTTTTCTTTTTGTTAAAAAAAAAAAAAAAACCTTAAAAATTGCTTCCCCAGAAACTCAATAACACCTCTTATCTCCATGTAAAGACTAGACAGTAAAACCTTCAAAGCTTGTTCAGCAGTGTTCATTTATCCTGTCATGTTTCTGTTTGTGTAGTAGTTAACTTTTCATCATGTGAAATCTGTTGGCATCATTGTGACCATTTCCATAGTCTGACTGGGCTTTAGTCTTATCTTGGTTATCAGTCTCTAATCCTTCCAGTCACTTGGCTCTTTTTTTCCATCTTTGATGTCAGTTCCAATTATTTGGCATCAAAGGCCTTCATGGGAGGTAAAGTTTTAGAAAAACGTAAGTATAAGGCTATTTTCTCTCCTTCTTACCACTTCCCTAAATAACTGAATTGAGAGGCACACTCTGCTCCTATGTTCTCAGGTTAATTTGTGTCTGATCTTAAGATTTCCTGCCTTTGGTTAACTGATTTTCAAATACAAAATATGAAGAGTGAGTATTTACTTATACACTCCACTGGCTCCAAAATTCTTTAGTCCGTTATTATTCGTATGAATTCTGATTCCATTTCTGCTTTCCCTAAACAGGTGAAAGCATCTGATTTCTTTCTTTCCTGGACTGTTGAGCTCTAGAGGAATGGTTTCTCTCCTTCAGCTATACAACAAAGTATTTGGAATAGTCAGGGAACCCACCCCAAAGTTATGTTGTCATTTATAGGGAAGGGCTAGGATCATGTGTATTTCTATGTTCTGTAAAGGATTTGACTTACTGGTTCTCAATAAAATTTTATTAAGACTATTATCATGTGGTTTTGTTTTTTATTTTGTCTTAAACTTGAGTAATATTATCCATCAATGGCAAATGATGGTTCTTTTTCTATACACTATTCCCTAGAATTTGTTCCTCACAATGTCTTTATTTTGGAGTCAAACAAGATTCTTGCACTATTTTTTGAAATTTGAGATTTATAAGAAGAAAATGTTTGTAAATCTGATCATTATAGAGTTAGAAAGAATCTTCCAGGCTTCAAAGAGAGCAGTATATTAACTATCTCATGTGTTTGAAAATCTCCCCTGTGCTTAATAAGTAAAGACCTAATTCTAGAAATTGATTTCCCTGCTGACCAATTCTAAAAGAAACTTGGAGTAGAAGAGGGGATTAAATGAGGCGTAATTATAAAACACATATACAGAGGTTGGAAAGGAGTTCCGCTGAATCACGTGGGATGACTTTGTACCACTGCTTTAGTGACAACGCTCTTCAGTGTCACTTAGCACAACAGAGATTGGCTAAATTATAAAATGCCTGTTTTTATCTCTAAGTGACCTATTGTTCTCTGGTACATGTGATTAAAATTTCCTTTATGTCCCTAGTCTGTTGATGGAATGATTCATAAGGATGAATGCAGAGCTATTGTCATTTCTCTGCTTTGAATGAAGTAAAGGTGTGTATGCTGGTATCAAGTCTTCAGATGGAGGCAATGAAGCCTGGAGAGGACAGTTCTTACCGAGGTCACACAGAGACTCCAAAGTACTGCTTATGTCAGCTGGTAAGGCCAGATAACACTATTCTGTAGTGTTAAACCAGTGGTAAAACTCCCTGGTTCATCTTGCTACCAGAGGACTAAATAAACGAAGATAAGCACACTAAATTGTACCATACTTGTAATCTCATCAACAGACAGAACATAGAAAAGTTAATTTGTCTCCTGTTATTTACCCATAGCACTTTATTTTCTCCTCACTTTGTACTAGAAAAGACCTTTGCCTCCTTCCTCCTCATACTCACTGATTAAAAAAGACATAGTTTTTATGTCATTTCTTTTTCCCAAGATAGTTCCCACTGTAGATTCAATGTCATTGAAAGTCTCATATTTTCTCTGTTCTGATAAGCATCATGTAAACTAAGAAAAACCTACAAGTCAATTCCTTGAAAGTTCGCTTCCTTGTGCTGATTCCTGTCCAAACTTGCCCCTTCCTTCTAAAACTGTGAGTAAATTAATAAAGCAAGAAAACTGGCTTTTACATATATATATATATATATATATATATATATATATATATACACACACACACATACATACACACACACTAGAGAACTACTATATATATATACTAGAGAATTTTGACTTCATTGGTCCCATTATGTAGACTGTCCAAACACTGTTTTTCAGGAACCCTGTACTGGTGCATCCTTGAGAACTTGGTTGACAATTTTCTGAGTAATGGGACAAAGCAAACACAATAATCCACAAGGTGAAATAATGAAGATCAAAAGTGGATCTTAGCAGGGCCGTTGCTCAAAGTCAACCAGTTGAATTTCACATTTCTTTATTCATTTCATTCCATGCAAATTACAGCCATGGTAACATTAAATCTGCAGCCAGTGTTCTGTTATTCTACAAATAAATGTTAGAGATAATATTGGTGAATCATTTGGTCATGCAGGAAAAGACAGGACTCAGGGGCAGTTTATAGATTGTCACCATTATCTGATTTCTCTAACGGAGTTAGGTTATAAGAAATGCATTTGTTACCCAGAAATGACTGATGTGGCTCACTGTGAAAGTTGATGGTTAATACTGGTTGTTTTCTCAGAATTCCACTTTTAGAAATTAATACATGCCCTCCTGCCAATATGATCCACACTGGTGGCACTGTCAGCTTATGTGCTGCAGGTAAGACATCTTATTAGCCATGCCATGCCATTTTATTAAAACAAGATGCTTTAAAACCATATATCCCCCAAATTCTCTAAATACACATACATTTGTATGCAAGGTGACCTGGCTGGGTGCGTTAGATAGACATCCCTACTCTGATAACCAGCAGTCTGGTAAAGAAGACAGGTGACTACAATGAAATGGAAATGTATTCTAACATTTCTCTCAACCCTTGCAACTACTCTCCCTTGTTTCATAAATTCCATATCTATTAAGGTATCTCATGCAGCCGATGGTTTCTGTCTATATAAATATTGGAGTTTAGTTCTTGCAGAGGAAAAGACACTTAACCAGTCCCCAGTACACTCGGAACTCTTATTTGGACCACCTCGGTGATGGGCAAGGTAGGGAAATTTGAACGCAAAAAATGCTTTCACCTAATACTACCTTTACTCAATTGGTCAACTTCTCAAAAATTTCCAATGTTTGCATTATTAAAGATTTAGGTTATATCTATTTTATTCAGAAATCTTCTGTTAAGATAAAAAAGGTTGGGGCCAGCAGGTGGCATGGTGGTTAAAGGCACTGGATTCCCACATGGCCTACCACAATTTGAGTCCTGGACTGATGGCTTGCTTTCTCACTTTCTTCTCTCTATGTCTCTCTGTTCAAATTAAAATAAATGAATGAATAAATGAAATTGAATAAAATAATTTTAAAAAATCCTAATACATGAACCAAAAGTAGACTTAAAGAGACAGAGTGTTCTACCTATCAGCCAAGTTTATAAAGTATATTCGAATGAAAATAGTAAGTGCATTTACCTTCTGGAATCACAACTATGTTATCTGAGTGAAGGTACCTGGAGAGGAAAAAAAAAAAAAAGAACAAAAAACCAGCTGTGATCATTTGGCACTTTTGCCAGTCAGTCAGTTTATAAAATGCTCACCAGAAACTGATAAATATAAATGGGCCCAAACTCACTTTACACCCTACCATAATGTAGTGTCACAAGGCGTGGTTATCACAACTAACTACTAATTACATCTTGAAAATATTTTACGTTAAAAT